AAAAAAAAAAAGACCCTCTGGGCAAGAAGCCCCAGCACTGGCCCTAGGAGCCCTGTGGCCTTAGACATACTCAATGTCAGCCCATTTCAGCCTCTGAACACATGAACCACAGGACTTCTCTCAGACTCAAACATTTAAACCATAAGCATGATGATGTTTGGTAGGGTATCAGCCACAGAACAAAAACGTTATTTATAAACTAAAAAGCAGCTATGGGAAAATACACCATAAAAGACAAGGAACCCTCTCAAGTGTACAATGGTTTTGTAATTACATATACAAACACATACATTGTGACCTGTATTATCAGAAATAATCCTGGGGCCGGGGAGATGGCTCAGTGGAATAAGCGCTTCCATGGCAAGCTCAAGGGTCTGAGTTCAATCCCTGGTTCCGCCAAAAAAAAAAAAAAAAAAGAAATAATCCTTTTTCAATTTCCTAAACCATGTGCCACTCACTTGAGTTCGCTGCCCCACTGTCTCAGAGAGTAGAAGTTAATGGGATTTTGGTGTGCTGGAGCTGGCTGGTTTGCAGCTTGTTCTCCCACCAGCTCTCCAGGAACAGTTTCCATGGCTAGGACATTTCTGGCTTTTTCTGCAGAAGTGTTTGGGTGTGGATAAACAACATCTGAAAGAAAACCAAACAAATGTCAGTTACTCAAAATTTCTACATGAAACTTCACTTCCTACACAAAACGTGATATGTTACACAGAAAATCTTAACTATATGAATAATGGTATATTTTTAATGTACACCATATAAAAAACAATTTGTGGGTGGCTTTCATGTTCTGAAGCCATTTTCATTAAAGTAGATACCTGTTTCTCGAAGGAAGGCTGTGACATGTTTCAAAACACCCAAGATGGCTCAGTGGAATAAGCACTTCCTTGGCAAGTGCAATGGCCTGAGTTCAATCCCTTGTTCCGCCAAAAAAAAAAAAAAAAAAAAAAAAAAAAAAAAGACCTGCTAGAAGCTAGTTCAAGCAAATTGACTCTTTCCCAGTGGCAGGAAATTGGCCATTGAAAATATAAAATTTAAGGATTGAGAAACAAATGAAAAAATTCAAAATCCTTGTACAATTCCCCTATCATGAATGCTATCACTATGTATATATAAAATGTACCAATAAAAAAAATTCAAGGAAAAGAAAAAACCACCCAAGATTACCAGTACTGGAGAGGGAGAGAACAACCAGGACTCCTCTCAGACCCTATAAATTAGTAAGCCTAGAGAAACTACAAACAAAGGCCACTCACCTGTGCTGATAAAGAACTAAATCCAGGTCATACCAGTACACAGAAAGAAAAGTGCAAATCAGATACCCTACCCCCTTTCCCCCAAGCAAGTAGGAAGACTACAAATATAAACATATCTGCTAATTAAGGCAAATAGTGACTGAAAAAAGCAGTCTGCACATCATAGTTTAGTAAACTGTAAGCAAACACACTGGTACTAAAGCATGACCAAGTTTCAAAATATATCCTTAAAATTTAAGTTTTGGAGATCTTTAAAGTTGAAGCGAGGGGCCGGGGAGATAGCTCAGTAGAATAAGAGCTTGCCTGG